GACAAAATATGATAATCAAACTTAAAAGCAAATTTGTTTTTCAAGGTACCTTATAGAGAAGCACTAAGCATTTATTTGTGTTTTATTTTTAAAACAAGTTATGGATATTTTAATATTGTAAGATATAATTATTTATTTATTAATTTATTTTGACTAAACGGGCTGAGCCCTTTCGATATACAAATTTATGACCACGCACACAATTAGATATTATACAATGTGTCCCGTGAACAGGTGGACACGTTAGTTAGTAAAATAGCTTTAAAATAAAAACCTATCTACAATATTCTCACCTTTAAGTTTCATAACTCGCTCCAATATAGTATGTATATAATTATCTGCAAGAAAGTCAACGTCTGAAAATTGTCAACACATTGGCTCGACTTAATAGTTTCTTGTATGTGGTACATCATATATTTCAGTTTTGAAAACCATAATAAGTATAATCCACTGTATGAACTAAAAACGATAAACCAATAAGTAACTTTTGGCTTTGGCAAACATTTAAATTTGGAACTTGAGTAATATACTTATATAAGTGTGTGTGAATTAGACATTATTAAGTTTCTAAGGCTTTTCTGAGTGAATTAAAATCATCGACTGTACAGTCTCCAAATCCTTTATTTGTCTGTTCATTTTCTTCAAACTCATCGTTGGAGAAATATAATTTTCTGAAAATATAAAGTTGTAAAAAATATCTGAATACCTACCTAATTAATATTAAAATAATTCAAAATTAAAAGATTTTACCTCTTAGATGATTTACTAGTCGTGCTCAGAGTGGTACCAGTGTTGCTATAAATTATTAAAATTTATTTTATATTGTTTAAATTATTTTACTCCTCTTAACAGACATGCGGTTTGGATTATGTTTTGTGACAGCCTCTGGCCATAATAATATCTACTATATACTGAGCCTTGTTTATAATTACTGATTGTGAAATGATTACCGCAGATTCTGCTCCAGATAGAAATTGGGTAATCATTTAATTTGAAAATTTATTTCCTTCAATTTTCATTTTTATTTTTTTGGAAATCTATATTTGTGAACAAATTACACTGCCCTGGCACCATATTATTAAGAAATATAATCAGTACAACTAGAAAATAATACTTACAAATGAAAATAAGGTAATGTGGCGAGGCGATACTTTGGATGTTTTACTAAAAAGAATACACTTATGCAAGGCAACTTTTTACTAAAACGTATGAATACAACACTGTACGAATGTATAGTAGTCTGTCTTTACTATTTCCGTTCAAATTTCAAATACCTAATCGAATGACTCGAATGATTCAACTAAAGTCGCCGAACTTTAAAATTATATTATGTTCAGCGTTGCCAACCTCCAAAGTTGAATATATCGTATGGCTGCTATAAAATTATCGTATTTCACACATTTTTGATAAAAAATATCGTACATACAAAAAGTTCTTTATTTGGTCATATTGACTAGTTAAAAATATTAAAAATGTTTAAAAAAAAAACAGTAACACTGTACATTAGTCATTAATATAAGTTAAGTTTAGTATAAAAATATTTAAAATTTAAATGTTGTATATAATAATAAATTAATAAGGTTTCATTTCAGAAGGCTTGTTTTTGGCACAATAAAAAATTTAAAAAAAAAATTTTAAATGAAATTTATAAAATTATCGTATTTTTATGTACGATAATAATTATATATCGTACATCGTACAGCTGGTTAAAATCATCGTACAAATACGATAATTATCGTACCATTGGCAACGCTGATTATGTTGTTGTTATTCATTTGATAACAATTATTACTATCTTAGTGATAAGCACGGTATTTATTTGAATATTATTTTGTTTTAATGTTTTGTTGATGTGATAATGTGATATTACCTACTTATTACCATAGACCTATTAACTAGTTAATAGGTCTATGTCTATGCTTATTACTTAATTAGTTATTACTTATAAGCGTAATAGCGTGGTTACTGGTTATTACTTCAGTTATTTAGACAGTCTGTAATTAAAAATATATTTACAAGAATACTTCCACCTTCCACAGTCTTAGTCAAGTATGTAATGATTATATTTAATATTGATACATATTTCTATTAATCTAATATATCCAAGTCAATATATCATTGCTTAATGTTACGTCGTTCGTTTTATTGTTGTTCAAGGACTATTTTTTTGGTTAATTGGTATGGAGGCCCGGCATAGAAGAAACCAGTCAGCGAAGTTGATCAATTTATCTAAAAAATATAATACATTAGGTACTGTTAAAAGCAGTACAAGTAATTTACCAAAGGATTCGTCTTCTTTGCCATTACGCCCCTATGGCATGCAGCCTGACTGAATAGAGTCAAACTCTAAAGTAAGACAATGGTTGCATCATGTAAATAAACACAAGTTAGTATACCATCCAGACACACTTTCTTGTTCGCAAAGGTGGGTATGGCACAATTTAAAAAGCGTTTGGAAATGAGATTTGCTACGGATTTGATTCCACTGACTCAAATTTATGACGAGGAAGCACTAATTTGTTGATTATAAAATCGTTAGATTATCTGAAAAACCATATGTAGGTATGTCCGTTCTATCACTTGGTAGCCTAAATTAAAAGTTATTTTAAGGACGAATGCCGTGTCAATAGGACAGTACGACCTACGAGCCTATATCTTATACACAATGCAGGTATTCGTTTCCATACCATTATTCTGCCTAACACTGAGGGTAAACCTTAGCTGTAGGTTAATTTCTTATTTTTCATAAATTAAAATTTAATTTATATTTTCTTTATTTATTATACAGTTTTTTTAAGTTGAACCCTATTTAAAAAGTATATACCAACAATCTACATATTGATTCACCAAGCAAGATAGATTCTGAGGGGAGTGATAAATGCATTGATCTTACTTGTTGGCAAAAATGTTCAATAGATTGTGCCGAATTATATTTTTATTTGGGGATATTATTGGCCAAATTCAGGTCTTATCGTCTTATTATTTTTTTCATGTAAATACTAACACAATAAAACATACCATTGGAACATTTTTTTTACTATTTTCATTGTTATCGTTTTCATTTTTTTATTCTTTAAAATTCCTTATTCCAAAGCAAAATATTTATGGAGTATTTTGATCTATAAAAATTGAATTTTGGATGAGTAGCTTTTATGAGTTATAGTTTAGATGTGTGGAGTTCAGTGGTTAGGGGTACACCCCATAAAATGTAGTCCACCAATAAACTACTTGTCGGAAATTTGATTTGTAGAGATCAAAATATTCTGAGTTATATTATGCTTAGGAATATGAAATTAGAAATACATATTGTCAATGAAAATAAAACTAAAAAAAAAAACCATAAGAAATATGATTATATTCCAAAAATATTTTTTTAAGAACTTAAAATTATATAAAAGAAATATTTTCAAAATAGTTAATTTTTCTCAAATAATGAGACGTGTTATATATGATTAATAGAAAACCACGTATAGTATTGTCTATTTTGTTTATATTAAAATATATTTAAATAGGTATTGTTAAAAAAAAAAATTTAGTTTTCCAGAATCAGCCTCAAATTACACTAAACATTCGGCTGAGAGTTTTATGAGAAGGGCAAGAACATTGTCACTTCCAATGATTCCCGAGACCTTAAGTGATTTGGCCAATCAGTTTATAGCCGGAAATTTAAACAGTTATAGTGTTGATGGGGAAGTAGTTTATAAAGGTAAACTCATATTAAACATATTTGATACAAATCTGAAGAAGATAAATTATTTTAATTTTTTATCTTGTGTACAGGATACAAATGGCAAACATTCTATAGTATTTGCATCACAGTCTCTGATAACTAATGCTCTTACTATGTGTAAGCGAGAATTACATGCTGATGCCACTTTTAGAATAGTTCCTTCAAAGCCTAAATGTTACCAACTTTTGACATTACACGGTATAATAGAAAATCATGTAAGTTATTACCTACTTAATTTATTGTATAAGTATAAACTATCAATATGTAATTAAATACCTACTTACACTATGTTGTTAAATTATTTGTTTTTTATAGAGTATACCACTAGTTTATGCTTTGATGGAGTCCAAGAAGAAATGTAGTTACCAAGCTGTGTTAAGTTACATTAAAACTCAACTTCTACCACACTTTAACCCCCGTAAAATACTAACTGATTTTGAAACTGGATTGAGTAAAACATTGCAAGACAACTTTCCTTCTGCGAGACGGATTGGTTGCTGGTTTCATCACAACCAAGTAAATAAAATGATTTTACATTATATTTACTATTTACAATTATTGAGGACATATTACACCAGCATTTGTTGTCTCCTACTTACAAATGCATGACATGGCAAATTGTACATTCTGAATAATTCATTTAACTCTATTAGTTTTCATATTGGAGCAAATTAACCTATTATCAAATTTAGAAGTAAGAATATTATCTAGTGAATCTCTTAGGTTTTTGTATATTTTAATTTTGAAGCAATTTATTAGTAATTATTGCAAGACGTACAAACAATTTTAAATTAAAGATACTCATAACTCACTTTTAAATTAAAATATAAAATGAAACCTATGATATTCACAAGATAATATTCTTACTTTTAAATTTGATAATAGGTTAATTCACATAACAGAATTAAATAGATTATTCAGAATTAAATTTGATATTAGGTATGTTATGCGTTTGTAAGACAGAGCCAATGCATGCGGGTGTAGTGCTCTCTTAATAGTTTTTTAGTACTTACCTAAATATATTTTAAAACTTATATATTTCTTCTTCCTATAGTCCGCGTAACGAAAACTGGCCGGTTACCCCCGAAACCCGCCCGCCATGAACGTGCCGCTAGCCGCGGGTTCTCAAACTACGCGTCGCTGCTGCGATGTTATACAATAGGCACACGCGGTGTGTTGTTTTAATAACCACTTATTGACAATTGCCACTAGAGTCGCACCAGTCACCGGCCAGTTTTCGTTGCGCGGACTATAGGCAGTGTGGAAGAAGATGAAAAGTCTTGGGTATTTAAATTTGGTGAATGAAAATCGACATGCTCTTAATACATTAAGACGCATTATGGTGCTACCCTTGTTACCTGGAGATAAAATCGATCAAGGCCTAAGATCTGTAAAGAGATATGCACGAAGAAATGATATTAATGTGAACCTACTATTTGATTATTATGAAAGGTTAGATTAGGAAAAATTATTTGTTTAAATTATTACCTATGCTGATACATACATTTTAATAGGTTTTGGATTGCCAAAGTAGGATGTGATGTATTATCTGTTCATAATCAACCTAGGAGAACAAACAACCATCTAGAATCATTTCACAATAAGTTGAGATATTCCTTTGGAGTGGCACACCCAAATCTGTGGACATTTCTTAGTCAGTATCTATTTTAATTTTACTTTTTTTTTAATCAAATAAACATTTACAATTATACAGTTGAATAAAATAACTGCTTTTTGATTAATTTTTATCCCAATAAGTATTGCTTGTTGTGAGGCAAAAAAGGTTACAATAGAAAATTTAAATAAAAAATAAAAAATAAAAATATTCAAGTAAATAAATTTACAGATGAAAATACAAAGTAAAAATGACATGATAATTTATGTGTGAATAAAAAATAACATACTTTTCATACTTACATTAGTTCATTTAACTTTCTTTTAAGTATATAGGTATGTTTTTTTTTACCTTTGTAATATATGTCACACACATTTATAACTATAATACACTTTTATTAATTTTTGCAAACTAAACTTATACATACAATGATAATATAATATACACCCCCAATCCTCATAGCCCATAGGTACTGTACTTGGTGAAGCCTATTATCTTCTTGAAGAATAAAAGAAAATATAAAAAAAAATATATATATTGTTTTAGTAATACAAAAACAAAATAATATATAAGCAGGGTATTTGCTTTTAATTGTTACTAACATGACCTTGTTTGATTTATTTTGTTATAGATAAGTTGTGTAATTTAATGCAAGGTACATCGATCGTAGTAAACCAACTATCGAATGGGCTGAATCCCACAAGGAATACAAGAGGAAAATTTATTGCTAATAGTGTAAAAATAAAATATGCTACTCAACAACAGTAGTTACTACATCTTGGTCTCATTAACATAGAAGAATTTTTGAAACGTTGTTCGTATTCCGTGGCATCATACGAAGAACGATTAACAAATTTTTCACTTAACATAACATATGACAATGAAATTGAAGAAGACTATGGAATTCAAGAACAAGAAGGTAATCCACCATATGCAAAAGACAATATACACTGTGTAATAGGAAGACCTGACAAATAAAATAACTTTTGTTCCAATTGATAATTTTTACAGACTCTTTCATTACAGCCTACATAATAATATATAGTAAAACATTTTTTTTTATTTTAAATAAAAAATAAAAAATTTTAAATCTTATATACATATTTTTTGAAAAATTATAAATAGCCAATTTATAAATCAGGTAATATTTTTTAAAAGCTTATACTATTTGAATTTAAAAGTTCTTGATGACTGGATAAACTTTACAATAAACGTAATAAGATTTAACATTATTTTTTAAAAATAAACAATATGACAAACTTAACACAAATTTTTCTATTTTAAATTTTTCAAAAAAAATTTAACAGATTTAAAAATTGTACACTATTCATGTAGAGCAGGCGTCAGTAAATTATATAAAAAATATTGATGATAACAAAAGTTATTTCATTTGTCAGATATTCCCGTTACAACTTACTGTGTATACAAATTCAAAATCACCAATAAATTATAGATAACAATCAAGAACCAGAAGATGTATTAATTGAGAGCGATAATGAAAGCTACAATAGACCAGTAAGTGACGATGAAACCAATGAATTAGGGACAATAGATGATGGCGACCATGAATTTGACAATATCCTGAACGTTAATGAACCAAATGATCTTGGAATTGAAGACAATTTTCAGGCAGAAAATGTAGATGATGGCCCTCTGTTGGAAAATATAGGTATTTACATAATATATTGTTTTATATTAAGTTATTGAAGTATTATAACAATTTTAATGAAAAAAGATCCATAATTTTAATACATTGTTTACTTACCTAAAAAAAAATGCTTGCTTGTTGTAAATAACCTCGAATCAATTCTAGATGATCAAATGGTGAACATTCAACAAAATGAAAGTGGAAACCAACAGGACAATGATTGTAAGTTAATTTGTTAATAGTAATCCAACAAAAACCTAACTGTGAAAAAAAGGGCATAGTCCACTTCAAAAACATTCTGCCTATCCAAGTATTGATATCTACATTGTAGCCAAGTTTATCTTTCTTTAATCAATAACCTTTTAATACACAAATACATTTACATGCAACAGATATCTTTTAACTTAATTGCTTATCACTTGGCCAGTTTATTCTTATTTTGTCTCTTTGGTGTTGTCAACAACTGAAATAGATTTCAATCATCTACAGGTTATTTTCTTTGAAACATATGATTTGCCAGTCAGCCAGTAACAAAAATTCAAACTTTGAAGTGCTCCCCAAAAGGCTTAGTATTATGGGCTCAAATGAGTACAATGTCTTAAGTTCCTTAAGCTTAATCTATGTTTCAAATTTCAAAAGTCCATCCTAAGAGAAAGCTGATATCTGAGAGTTAGAATAACCGGGGCTGAATCCATTTGTGAAAAGATACACTGGAGATTGGTATTGATAGGACTTGCCCGGCGTACTACCATATGTTCAGATAAATAATAACTAATATTTTATATTTATATAAAATTCTTACACATGACAAACCCAAATAATTATTTTATATTACAGGGAATGAAGAAGATTTTATTATTGAAGAGGAATTAGATCCTGATATGATACGGATGATGGGAACTGACCATAGAATAAGAATGTTGGAAATAGAAAATTTACCATTTGTTCAGGTTCCGTCTGTTCTTCCTCCAATTACCAACTCTGATCGAATGTGTGTAGTTTGCTCTATTTCAGAGAAAACGCATGCGTTCATACCATGTGGACACATAGCTGTGTGTGGTGATTGCCTAATATTATTAGACCCGCAACGCTGTCCATTATGTAACCAGCAATTTACAGCATTTTTAAGAATTTGGTCATAATAATTATATATTATATAGATAATAATAATAATTTATTTAAATAAAAAGAGTATGCCTTATTAAAACAATAAAGGGTTTTAATTATTTAAGGGTCTAATAAGTGTTTGATCAATTTAAATCTGTTTTTAGATATCACTACTATTGGATTCTTTAAGAATATGCTGTCACACATTGCTCCAATAATGGTACTGTACAGTCTGTGTACACATATTATAAATAAAATATAATGATATTATAATATTTGATATAAAATACAATTTATATCAGATTATTTTATAATTTATACAACAATATTATATTATTAGAATATTGTAATATAACTTTAATTGATATACTATAAAATATAAAATATAGGTATTCATTATTTCATTAAATTAGTATGGACCCTTAAAAAAAAACAGATTGCGGATTTTAAATAAAAAAATAATTGAGTGTACTTACATAAGAAAGTAATACAATTAATAAGATTTACATTTTTTATTTTATTACGGCTATGTTATTATTGTGTAGAATTGAAAAAAAACATTACCTACCTACCTACTATAAAGTTAATTTATATATCCATTTCCAAAACAAATTCAGTATATAATATTGTGTTGGACTATTTTCCCATCGCTGTCGGTAACTAATATGTATAATGAACCTATATCAGCATATAATATAATGACATAACTATAATACATCTGTTTGACTGTTTATGTATTATAACTCTGCCTAGAATTTTGAATGACAAATGCAGGTCTGTAGTTCTGTACCTACATCGCTCACTGTGTCCGGGGACAAATAATAAATTACAATATTCCAATGTATTTTCTTTTTTTATCTCAATAATTACTAATAAATATTATAATATTGTAATACAATATAATCAATCCAATTAGTAATTTGTACTATATCAAACAATAGTTTAATGTTATAAAATATCCAATACAAATTTAAATATTTATTATTTATTTTATAATTAGTTTATAGAATAAAATGAATTGTTTTTTCTAGTTAATATGACATAATAATTTATAAGCTGTTTTTATTATGTATTGGACTAAAATAGTCACAACACCCCGTATATCATTATGCCTAAACATTTAGTTTTAAAATGGTTTTGAATAGACACATTTAGAATTCCCAACACGTGTAATAACTTTTTATCCTAAAACTTGAATTTTAATTTTGGTTTTGAAAAATCTAACAAAAACCTAAATCCTACAATATAAGTCCTACTCCTATAAAACTTACAAGGATCAAAGCAGAATCGTACCTACATCATTTCCCAGATGCTAAAAGTTGTTTAACACATTATTAAGTAGGTAAATTAAGAGTTCAAAATTTAAATTATTCAAAAAAAAAATTAGCGAGTAATTTTGTTTTGTCAATTTGTCAATTTTTAGATCGATACGCGGCTTTTTTGAGAGCAGAAATTTGATTTAGAGGTGTCACTGCGTTGAAAATTGAGGACCCTCCGACTCCGGGAGTACGTTTTAGAAGGGCCTAAACCGAAACGTTTGGGAACTAAAAAGTACAATATTATCTTATGTGAACGTCATCTACAACTACCTACTAATAAATGATTTATTGAACTTTAAAACTATTACATATTTACATAAGTTTATTCGAATTTGGTAACTACGCTATCAGCATCGTACAACATTCTATGCCAGTAGTTTTCCTAGAAGTAGTTACCTATTCATATAATCACATCGATAATAAATCTATAAGAGTGTTAAACATGAATACATGATCAATTGCTTATATAGGTAATTGATGAAGTTTAAAATCCAATCATCGAAGTTAATACTAGTTAGTATGGACCTTTAAAAAAAAAACAGATTGCGGATTTTAAATAAAAAAATAATTTAGTGTACTTACATAAGAAAGTAATACAATTAATGAGATTTACATTTTTTATTTTATTACGGCTATGTTATTATTGTGTAGAATTGAAAAAAAACATTACCTACCTACCTACTATAAAGTTAATTTATAGTAAAATTTCCAAAACAAATTCAGTATATAATATTGTGTAATTTATTTATACATGAATGCATCAATGTTAGTTCAGATAAATTTAATGGTTTTAATTTATTAATTGTTGGATTTTAATATTAAAATATTACAAATTATATTACATTAATAAGAAATTTTTAAGTAGATGAGGAAGATCAAATGGTTGATATTTGATAACTACCGTCGACCCGTTTCAATTCGTCATTTAGGTACAAGTAAATACGAAGTAATACAATAATATAACGTATTAAAATATCGTGCTTAGAAATTTGTAAATAATTATCAATAATGTACAATAACATACAAACATTTTAAAGTGCGAAATTGGTAACAACTATTTTGTGGCAATATATTTACCTGTACATTATTTTAATAAGGCAATAAAAATACAATAATTGGTAATAACATTATTCATGAAATTATAAACAAAACACTCTATGTTATGTTTATAAGTGAACTATTCACACTGTTTTAGATTCTGAGTGAAACGATGAATGTATTGATTTTACAATGATGTGTGTTTTTTTTTTTAATTATTATTTTTATTTTTGTGTCTGTCATCACGTTTTAGAACAGTAAAAGTGCTTGGATTTTCTTCAACAGTAGCTTTTCTGATAGGAAAGTGAATCTAGTTGGTACTTTGGGGGGGGGGGGTCAAAAGTAAAAATTTTCCAGTAGTTTTCACAAGCGCCCGAGAAAAACAACATAAAAATTAAGGAAAAACGGGAATTCTTACGCAAAATTGGTTTTGGTTTTTTGTGTAACTCTAAGAGAAATGAACGTATACACATGCAATTTTCACTGGTTGTTTATATTTGCATTTTATATACACGATAACATTTTCAAAATATTTTGATTTATTTTGAACTGTTTAGGGACATTTTCATTTTCCATTTTTTTTTAGTTTTTTTTCTAAAAATATCAATAAAATTTTATTTGTTGGTTGCAAAACCTTGAAAATTTAATAGAAGGCTCCTAGTATATTGTTTCAAAGGCAGATGAAAAATATTAAAAATCCTTAGTCACAGTTTTTTTTATAAGCATTTAAAGTTCAAAAATTGACAAAATATGGAAAAATCACGAAAATTAGCAAATTATTTTGAGTTAAGAATTCGTAAAAATTTTTCTTTTTATATCTAAGATTTTAAAATGTAATACAAGATTCCTTATAAGATTATCTACCTTTATCAAAAAAAAAATGTCTATAAAAAAGTCAAATTAAATTTTTATGAGCGTTTGAAATTCAAATTTTTACAACATTGGATATTCACTCGATTTCTCATGTAGCGATTTCCTTATTTTGTTGTTATTCAAAAACGAATAACTGTAGATACATACAATTTCACTGAATGTTTAAATTAGCATTTCCTACACACCATACAATTTTGAAAATATTTTGACTCTTTTTTTTTTTTTTTTTTTTTTTTTTTATTAAAATACATCTACAATCTATACAGTTAATAGTATAATAATTAGATTTGATAAAGGAATATAAAATTAACAGTGAAATAATATGATTGGGAAGTTATCCATTGATAACACCCAGCACGTGATAATATATTAACTTAATATTAATATAAATATGAGTTGAAGACCTATAAGGTACAATAGTTAGTTTAACGTTTCTGGCGATTAAAAAAAAAAATTTTAATTAAATTAATTATGAGATAATAAAGGTAATGCACTATGTAACAGGCTGTTTATTTAGAACAGCTGTAAGGAGCGTGATGAGGGGAGAGATTAGAGAGGAAAGTTCAGATAAGAATTTTGTTAGTGGGTTATCGGTTGTGTGAACATTGGGTAATGGTATATTTTTAGAATTAGTAGCGGATGCGTAAGAAGTTTTGGGAGGGAGAGGGGGAGTTTGGAGATGAAAAGAACTGAGTACCGGATTCGGATTCTGTTGTTTTGAATGAGTGGTTCTGCGTCGTTTGAGAAGAGATTTGTATATTTGACATCCTTTGTAGTTGGAGGTGTGATTGCCCATGCATAGGGAGCACTTAGCTGGGCTGGTTTTGGGTTTGATGCAGTCGACGGTGTGGTGGTCGCCCCCACATTTGACACACCTTGAAGGATGGTGACAATAGTTCGCAGTGTGACCATAGTTCTGGCAGTTACGGCACTGAGGTGGACCACTCTTGGTCCTGTATGGAAATTCGACTTTGATATATGTGTGCAAAATAGTAGACAAGTTTAGGATTTCTTTATTGTTGGTGTTGGGTTTTAACTCCACAAGAAAAAGTGGGCATGGGTGACCATTTTTTTTGACGTTTGTGACACGGCTGGTTTGGTGACCTAACTCCGAGAGTGCATCAGATATATCGGGGATGAGTGTAGTGTGGTGCAAGTTTCTGATAATGACCTTGTAGGGTCGACGTGGTGGAGGCATAAAAGTATGAAAAAAGGCACTGGTGTCCTTTAGATGGTTCATGATTAAGTTAAACATGATACGTCCGTGAGGACGAATAATCAAAAAGGAAGACGTGGACTTGCAAGAAAAACCGTTTTGGCCGGTGATTTGAACTAACGCGTTTTTAAATGCGGAGAAGTTGGTGATGTTTTGAACGTATATTGGCGGAGCCCTGTTGTTGACCTGGTTATGATGAAGTGTAGACTCGTTGGTTATATTAGAAATAACATTAGAGGTGTCGTGTTGGATTTCGATGTCCTCTTCGGTAGCTAGGACAGCGAATTTATTTGGCGAAACAAATGACTTAGTTTTTTTCCCCATTTGGATAGGTGAATTTGGAGAAGATGGCAGCGACCGTTTGGATATAAAAATGTTCGGAGAGGTAGTGTTATTCATATTGGAATGAAAACGTGTTCAACGGAGTGAAACCCGAGAACTGTTAACTGTTTACATACTGAAACGCGATAACGGAGCGAATATAACCGTACAACGTGCGGTCGCGTTGCAGGTCAACAGCGAACTCTGACTCTTTTTAAGCTATTTATTTGAGGTCCGAGGTGTTCAAGGCCCTTCCAAAGTGGTTTTA